CGCAATCGTATCATGTTTTGCGATCTGTTTCAGGGTGTCATTAATTTATCATTGACACCCGTACCAGATCGCATGAATGCCATGCAATTGCATTAGTGTGAACCTGGGCTCAGACCTTTGTACCACCATAACATTCTTTCCTGGGAGTTAATTGAGGGACACTGGCCCCACCCTACTGTGTTTATGGTCTTGTTCTCCATAGTACTTGTTACAGAACTGAGGAATGTTGGGAGTAGGAGGGATTATATCAGACTGGTTACTGTTGCTTTTTTAGATTTGCCAATGTGCATGTACTCCTGTTGGCAGTAGTAGAATGTAATTTTCCTCTTAATCCTGTTTCCCTTAATGAACTGATTTTATGGTGAATACAGAACTCCCGTTATTATAATTTTTGAAGATAACAGTAGTTTTCAGTACAATGAATGTAGTTTAGTATAACCATTGATGTGCCCCATTTAGCTTATTATAAAAAGGCTTTCCTGAGAGAAGCATGAGGCTGCCATTGCTGATGTCTCATTATTCAAATGCTGCTTGCCTGGCTTTCATTCTGACACTTTGGTTTAATCATTTCCTTGTGTCCTTAAAGGAGAAGTATGGACATTTTTGGCTGTACTTCGCCTATAGATCATAGGAGTGCAGTTCGTCCTACACCCCTGTGACCCGTGTTCAGCCAATAGCGGGCTAAAGCCCTCTAGTCTGCACTGGTAGCTGGCTCAGCCTCTCAGCAAGCTACTGAGAGCCTGAGCCCAGCGCTCCAATAAGTGTTGGTGGGGCAGAGTAGAGAGCCGGTGAGTGACTGAAGACCAAGCGATGAGCAATTAGTGGTGTTTGATCACTCCCTTCTTGATCTTAGAGCCGGCGGGGACAGGTGCCTCATTGGGAGTGATACTGCATCCACCTAGGTATGTATATATTTTTTTTCTCTACTTCAACCCATACTTCTCTTTTAACCCACAATAATACTTTCTGGGTCACTGACATAAAACACATTTGTAGATCAGGGAATTAATGTCAGACGACCTTACTTGAGTATTTGTTTTAGGTTGGTGATCAAGAAAGTATTGAAGCCAGAGAGTTAGCCTGATCGCTATGTAATTAGTATTTCTAGATGAAGGGGTCAGTGACATCCTTCGTGTTTCTTTCTGGAAAGGTTTGCTTGAAATTCTGTATGAAGCTCTTCCAAGGCTTGTCTTCCTCTAGTTGTGTATATGTCCTTGCTAGAATGTTTGGTTGTGTATATTGTCTGGATGGTGGCACTTTGGAAGAAACGGTGGTGCTTAAACATCACTAAAGTGATTTGTTTTATTGGCCTACCCTGCTAATGCTACATGTGACCTTTTTATACTTCCTTCTCAGAGTGTTACAGGTTTTTATCAATGATTGGGCTGTTCTGTGTATGTGTAAATGTGTATATTGTTATTGTAGCTTTGCAATTGAATACACCCGCTGCATCCAATTTGCTGTTAAACAGGCATTCAAGATGACTTCTTAAACAAACCAATTAATTTTTTTCATTTAAAAAATAGGAGAACAAATATGTATCTCCATTTATGTACTTAGTCTAAAGGTCTCCCAGGGTTTTTCGCTACAAAATATTTGGATTTTGTTAGCTTTCTGGCCTGGACTGTTCCACATGTATAGTCTAGGCTGCTTTTATTTTGATATTGATTAACATGACTGTTTGATATTGATTAACATTAGTAGCCAAGAGAAAGCAGTTTGTTGGCTCTCTTTTTTTTTATAATTTAAATATTTATTGATTTTCATTTTAAATACATTTCATCATCATAATATACAAACATATATATATATCTATACATTATATTATCCAATGTTTCCACTTTATTTACTCTATTCCAACTTTCCCCCCCCCCCCCCCTCCTCCACCCCCACCCTAATCCCATCTTCCTACTTTTCCTTTTCTCTGCATCATTTTATCTCAGCAAGTACAATTTTCCTATTATTTTCTTTAATCTTTCCTATATTTCATATATAACTTAGCTTTTTCCCAGTTCTCCCATTTCCTATTATAGGTCTCCATCCTATCTTCGTGGGCATAACACAACCTTTCCATCTTTTTAATCTGCTCAACTCCTTCAATCCAGTCTTCTTCCTTCGGCGCAGTTTGTTGGCTCTCTTGCAGAAGTATATAGGATACAGCTGAACACAGGGGCTTCTTATGTGGGATGTGAACAGATCTGTTTTGACTTTTGCAACACTCGTACACATGGTTTGCTAGTATCCATTTGTGTACTTCTACTTTTTTATCTTGTTCTTGCAGGTTTGATTTAGTTGTTTCTGCAGTATAGTCACACTAGTCATATTGCCTATTGATTATATGAATATAAATTAGGTTTTAACATTTCAGACATTGCAGATGTACTTGGTTTGTTTGCTGGCTTGCAGCAGTCCCTGTCGCACCAGATTCTTCTTGCTATACTATAGATAACTGAAGAAAATCGTTGTGCAGTGACGACCAATCCTTAGTCTATGGAAGAAGGCTTGATTACCGGATATAAAGATACTGTATATTCAATAACATTCAACACTATTTAGTCAGATACACCCTTCTCAGAAGTCTTACACCCGATTCTTTCTATTATATAATATATATTATATATGACATGCAAATCTACCTCTCTACCCCTCGCCTCACCCCTTCAGTCTCTGCCCGAATCACCTGCCTACTGAACGACATATCAGACTTGATGTCACTCGACTTCCTCAAATATAAACCTTTCCAAAACCAAGCACCTAGTTTTCCCCCCAGCCCGCGCCCCCCCCCCCCCCCCCCCCCCCCCCTCCTCTCCATCACGACCAATAATGCCACCATCAGTCCCACCCCACAAGCCAAAGTTCTAGGCGTCACTCTAGACTCCAATCTGTCCTTCCATCCCCATGTCCAATCGCTGGCAAATTCATTCAGGCTCCACCTCTGCAATATCTCCAAAATACGTTTGTTCCTAACCCCAGACACTACTAAACAACTCATTCACTCCCTTATTATCTCACAACTCGACTACTGTAACTCCCTCCTCACCGGCTTACCTCATCACAGACTATCCCCGCTTCAGTCTATCCTGAACTCAGCGGCCAGACTCATCCACCTTACCAACTGCACTGTATCTGCCACCCCCCTCTGTCATTCCCTCCACTGGCTTCCAATTGCCCAACGCATAAAATTCAAACTACTAACATTGACGTACAAAGCTATTCATAATACTGCCCCAAACTACATCACCGACCTGATATCCAAATACCACTCAATACGTACTCCTCACTCACAAGACCTTCTACTGTCTAGCTCACTGGTCTCCTCCTCCCATGCCCGACTCCAGGACTTCTCCAGGTCTTCCCCCATCCTCTGGAACTCACTACCCCAATCCATCAGACTGTCACCTACCCTACTCACCTTTAGGCTCACCCTGAAAACCCATCTCTTCAGGGAAGCCTACCCCGCCCTCACCTAACAGCCGATCGCCTCCACTCCTCCTACCACTCCATCCCCCACAGCCACTTCCTCCTGTACCACTATCCCCTCCCTCCTAGATTGTAAGCTCCAAGGAGCAGGGCCCTCGAACCCCTCGTGTATTGTATTGTTACTGTATTGTCTCATGTACTGTCTCGCACTATAATGTACAGTGCTGAGCAAACTTTTTGGCGCTATATAAATACTGTATAATAATAATAATATCCAAAATAAAGCACTTCTTAACATGTGGAATAACGCGTACCTTTTAACCCCTTTGCGATGAGGGTAATACAAATCCTAAAGCCTAAACACAGTTTTGTAACTCTGACATGTGTTCGTAAATATCGTTGCAACTACCTTGTTTTTTTCTGGAAAAAGTGAGATTTCATTTGGAGGTAAATGGTAATGGTAATTAGTTTTTTTGTGTTATCAAAGGAAAACTAGCACAAAACAGTAAAAAAAAAGCTTAAAAAAAGTAAATGTATTTTTATATTTCTTGCTATTACCATAACCTACCATGAAAGAGAAACCCAAATTAAATTCTCCTGCTCCTGATGATCACAGCATTATCACATATGTGTATGTTATTTGTTGTTTGTACCCATAGTAGGGCCCAGAAACAAGAGTAAGCATTTTGCTTTTTTTTTTATCCTGCCCAAAATATACTGACAATAATACTAAAAAATACCCCATTTTTTTTTTTTATAAACCTACCCTGACCTTTGACCTTACCGTATTTGACTCTAATGCTAACCCTGCCACTGACCTAGATCAAACCCAGATCTACCTATTTCATTTTTTTTTAATTTACACACATTTGATTTTACATTTTTCTTCTTTAAAACTTGGCTTCCCAGTACCCAATCGTTAGTCATGGACACGGGTCTGTCGGTGCAAGCCAGGCTACGCATTGTTCTCCCATTACAAACACATGTATGCATTTGTCACCCAATGTGAAAGAAGATCCCAATTTTAAGTGATCACCAAAACAAAAGTAGAGGGAGATTTTTCCATTTTGATGAATCTGTAAATTGTAATGGTAGGGTTTGGGGAGGTTTAAGTGGCATTCTTTTCCATGATTATTTTCCTTAAGACTGTGATAGTCCAGTCTGTGCTTTTTGTTTTGCTGGGTTCTTGTTTTTAACCACTAACCTACAGGGCACTTATACCCCCTTCCTGTCCAGGCCAATTTCCAGCTTTCAGCGCTGTTGCACTTTGAATGACAATTGCGCGGTCATGCAACACTGTACCCAAGTGAAATTTTTATCATTTTTTGAGACAGATAGAGCTTTCTTTTGGTGGTATTTAATCACCTCCGGGATTTTTATTTTTTCTTAAACAAACCAAAAACCACGGAAAACTTTGAAAAAAAAAAGTTTTTTCTTAGTTTTTGTTATACAATTTTGTAAATAAGTGATTTTTCTCCTTCACTGATGTGTGTTAATGAGGCTGCAGTGATGGGCACTGATAGGCTGCACTGATGGACACTGATAGGTGGCACTGATGGCACTGATGAGGAGGCAGTGGTAGGTTGCACTAGTGGGCATTGACAGGCATCACTGATGGGCACTGAAAGGCAGCACTGATACTGATACATGACACTGATACATGGCACTGATAGGCGGCACTGATAGGTGGCACTGACTGGCACTGTTAGGCGGCATTGACTGGCACTGATAGGTGGCACTGACTGGCACTGATGCGCACTGATAGGCGACACTGACTGGCACTGATAGGTGGCACTGATTGGCAGCACTGATCGGTGGCACTGATTGGCATTGATAGGTGGCACTGATGGGTGACATTGAAAGGCGGCTCAGATGGGCACTGATATGTGGCATTGATGTGCACTGGTATGCACTGATATGTGGCATTGATGTGGCACTGATGAGCACTGGCACATGGCACTGGCACGTGGCACTGACAGGTGACACTTCTGGGGCCACACTGATCATCAGGGCACACTGATCATCAGTTCCCTGATGATCAGTGTACACGTCCCCTCCGCGGAAAGCCGATTACCGGCTCTCCTCTCGAGCTGTCAGCGTGACAGCTCGAGAGGAGAGAAATGCCGCTAACCGGCATTTCCGTGTTTACATGTGATCAGCTGTGATTGGACACAGCTGATCACATGACCGAGCCGACACCTTCGGCTCTTTCCGTGTTCCGCTGTGTCCGAGGGACACAGCGCACTGGCGATCGCCGCGCTGCGCGCTCCCCTGAGCCGCGAGTGTGCAGTGAGAATGGTAGGACGTCATATGACGTCCTATCAGAACGAGAGAACCACCTTGTGCCCGTCATTGTACTATAGGGCGGGCGGAAGGTGGTTAAATACATTTGTATAGACAGATGTCTAGTGCCCTTTTATCACTACAATAGGCTCAACCTGCCCTCCCTGTTGCAGTGTCTGCTGATAGAGGCAACCTATCATTGAAGTTATCATGTTTGGGGTATACTGGCTACGCATTCGCATTCGGTATGCTACAATGAGCACCCAATTGTGTTAGTATTGTTATTTTTACTTTCTATATATGCTCAAGAAGTCCTATGTTGTTGTCTTGCACGTCTGCATTACAGATGTGTTCCTTTTGGTATTTTAAGCGTGCAATAAACTTTGTTATTCAAAAAAATAAATATTAGTACAAACAGATATTTTGACTACAATGTCTGAATTGCAAACCATGGCACCTGAAGTATCCCAGTCGTAGATAGTCCATATTTGTCACTTGTTGGTTGAGTAGTGTGATATTAATCTTTTACAAGCGATAAGCACATATGTATCACCTAGATTTTTCCAAAGTGATCTACACATGAATGATTAAGCATTGCAGCCACTTTTTGCTGCAAATGGGTCACCTGAGCACTCAAATGACTAATTTCATCTGCTACTTGGCTTCGACAAGATAGAGTGCAGGACTGAGAGAAGAATAACCCAGGTGTGCACAATGAATTATGAGCCAAGGATGCCTACATTGAGTGCTTGCTTATATGTACAGTTGGAAAAACAAGCAGAATTTGGAAGCCATGTAACAATCTAGGTAACAATTTTATTTATTTATTTCAGGTACTTATATAGCACTGTCAGTTTACACAGTGCTTTACACATATATATTGAACATTCACATCAGTCCCTAACCCTCAAGGGGTGTACAATCTAAGGTCCCTAACTTACATACACATATTTGGGCCAATTTAGACAGGATCCAATTAACCTACCAGCATGTCTTTGGAGTGTGGGAGGAAACCCATGCAAGCACAGGGAGAACATGCAAACTCCATGCAGGAGGCGCCATGGTCGGGAATCGAACCCATGATCCATTTACCACAAGGCAGACATGCTAACCACTAAGCCACTGTGCCGCCAACTATGGTACATGGGCTACCATACATATTAGAATCAACACAAAAATGTAGGGCTCAGGATAAGTATTGACTCTCTGGATCCTGGAAATTGTCCAACACTTTGTGATGAGTGAAATTCTCTGCACATGAAAACAGAAAACAGAAAATTCCTGGAACTTAGAAATTTTAGAAGGGCAGTTTGTAGAGAGAAACTTTTCTAGTATCTTATGTTGCTTTAAGAATTCTAAGTAAGGTTTCAGCTGAAACAAAGCTGTGCCAGAGGAAAGGTCTTTCCAGCAACACTGGGATTCATCTGCTGCCAGACTGGATGTTAAGACAATGGGGATGAAAGCTGCACAGGCCAGGAAATGATTAATGATCTCTGGCCAGACTAGACTCTCCTACCTATCCATTGTAGAAAGGGTGAAACTTAGGGAAGAAAGAGGAAGCAGTAATTATTGATTGTGTATCCTACTCGAGTTCATGAGCGGGTGAGGTAGTGAAACCTTGGCTCCTTGAACACTCAGCTGCCTGTCTGCTGTTTATAGGCTAAATATAACTTCTGCCACATGACACAAAAATAATTCTTCAAAAGGGTAAGACTGTCTATTAGTAGCCTGGCTCTAATGAGATTCACAGGGCAATTTAACATAAAATATGCAGAGACTATTAGCATCCAACTGGGCCCTTGTCTTGAGCTGGATATAGCATGAGGTGTCAGGGTTTCAAAAACTCATTTTGGCTGTGAGGTGCCTTTTAAATGTTCGCACCATTTAAACTTTCTGCAAGGTGGTTAATACTGTGAGACTTATGATAGATCAGAAGAACTTTTAAAACTAGTTAAGATTACAAAGATGAGCATGTCAAGCTGCTCATTTTTCAAGTAATTTTTGCTTGGGAGGATGAAAAATAGCAGGCTCTTCCATTAATATTAAACATTATCCAATCCAACTGATACTGGAGTTGGCTTATTTCATTATTCTCTCCATTTTTTCTTAGAAATGAGATAATAGAAACAATTATTTGAAATAAATTTTAGAACTGTATATTTATTACTCTTAAAGTATAACTAAAGGGAAAATATTGATCTTTTTAGATTTGGATAGAATGAGGAGGGGTTAATTGATTAACGTCAGTGGATTGCTAATATATCCCTGATGTCCCAGTAACCTGTTGATGCGGGCATCACACATGTATGGCGTTTCACAAAGGCAGGCCTTCTAAAGCACTGAATGTACAGTATGTGCACTAGTGTCCAGACAGTATTGATGGATGCCAGTTGTGTTGATACCGTTTTTCCATTGAGGCAATGTCCTTTTCAAAACTTTCACCTTGTTTGGCACAGACTGCACCTAGATTTTCGGGAACAAAGTTCAAGTGTGAATGCGGAAAAATAATTTTCAGTGACATGTTGTACTTCATGGTCTTGTATGTTGTAAGACGTTTGTCAACAAGCTGAATGTAGTTTGGTGCTCTGGAGTTGCAAAAAAATTATCCATTACATCCTTGAATGCTTTCCAGACAATTTTTTTCTGGCCTCACTAACAAACCTTTAAAGTGTGTACTCACCACAAATGCAGCAGAGGGTATCACGGCTGTTGCTACACTCACAAGACATTTCTGTTGTCACCATTCGTCCTATAACAAGTCTATAACTTGGTTTCTTGTTATGTAAATTACATTTACACAGACAATGCTATACCTTGAAACAGTTGCATCAAAATACATAAAAACTGATATTAACAAAATCAGTAGCATGCGTGCGGGTACATTTATAGTCTTCCTAGGAAGCATCTTTCCAGCCTAAGCATGCCCAAACTGCAACAGTTCTCAAATCGTATACTTGAGTGCATGCCTGGTCATGCAAGAGCTACAGAAAGCATCTTATACCACAATAGAAAAATAAACTTAAAATATATATAAAGAAATTGCAAAAACAGAAGATTTCAACATTTAAAATGGTATAGAGTAGGTTAAATTCCGGGTTATTTTTATGATTAGCATCCAAAATTCTTTAAGAATCACTCAAAAGTGTTCATGAAGCAAAATCTTTGTTGTCCAGTGTAATTAAAAAAAAAAAGAGAAAGAATGGCCAAAGCTTGTTTGGTCTTGCTTCTTATGTGGGTCACAGGAGTGCACTTACTTTTGCACTCCTATAACCCAGAATCAGCCTCTCAGTGTGCAGCTGACAGCCTGAGCCAGCCTTTTCCACCCCCTCCCCAGCCCAGCACTCCAGTGAATGCTGGAGGGGCAGAGCTCAGAGCCGACCCAAGAACTGAGCAATCAACGGTCAAGTGATCACTCTTGATCACTTTGAAGCAGTGGACAGTTTGCAGCATGGGATTGATGCTGCAGCAGGGAGGTAATTAGGTGTTTTTATTATTTCTAGTTCCATTTACTACCCAATGAAAAAACAAGGTATAATTTACCTGGAAACACAAAGAAGTTATGATGATATGCACAATTGTTTACTAACACGTGCCAAACTTGCAACACTAGGTTCAGCATTAGGATTTTTACCTTCAGGCATTAAGGGGTAAAGAATACCTGTCATTTATATTTATGCTATGACATAGGAGATATTTCACCCCTCTTTGTGATAGCAATAAAGTTAAATAAAAAGTTTAAAATAAGTTTTTTAAGGCCCCTGTGCACATAACAGGGATAAGATTTATTTAGATAATGTAACTGGTAAAAATTAAATTTTTTCCATAATGAAATAAAAACCTTTTTCCTTACGAAAATTCTCCGGGCTTCAGTGTAAGTTCCTTTTGCATTTGAAGTTGTAAGAAACACTATTATAATAAAATGTTTTACTCCCAGCAGTAAATATTAGCCCTGCGCTAATCTTCAGTTCTCGCAAAAATGCATGTTCCTGTATAGTTGGGTGAAGTGTTGATTGATGCAGCTCCTATTTTCTCCACCATGAAGCTGGAGGTTTTTGGCAGCCAACATAAGCACCATTAGAAATGATGTACAAATATGTAGTAATGTAGTGTATTACTCTCTTTATTGTGCTGTTGATGTGTTGCACATATGATTTTTTTAAGGGTCTTCACAGAAAAAAAAGAATCACTGCAGTCCTGTTGAAAAAGCAAGAGGAGATGCTAAAAAGCCTTGTGTCAATTGAACTGTGTTCCTAATGCCAGACTTTTTTTTTCTTATTTAAAGTTACCGTGTGGGTTATTTGGAGCTTGTAACCTTGCTGTCCGGTCACACTTCTGACACTTTTAGAGGTGGCATTTATGGTAGCTTTTCTTCCACATTCATTGAGGGACACACAGATTCAAAGACAATTGGTTTACACTGCTGCTTACAGGAGGATTTGGACCCTGTCAAACTAAATTACAGTGACCAGCCTGGTATAACTCTTTCCACTCCTAGCATGCCTCTTTCTTTGCTAGTGGATGGATGTCTTTCCTCTACTGAGAAAATAACTAATTTACTAGCCTGTTGTCTCTCACACTCTTTGTTTCTGTGTTTCTTGTTTTTAGCATGATGTAGAATCTTCCTGCCCTTGCTCCTCTTTGTCATAAGACACACAGTTGCACCTCAGTTATTCCTTGCCACCTCTGCCCATTTTAACCTCACCTTCTTTCAGCAGCCAGTTTGAGTACCCAAGATTTAACCTGATATTCTCAACAAAATGTAATTATCAAGCAATGCAATATGTTTTATCCCAAGCACAAGGGGAGCAGTCTCTCTGCTTTCTCCAACTCATTATCCATTAACAATTTCGAGACAGACTTCAGTGTTCCCTTCATGGGACTGACACAGCCTGAACGGTTGTCCTCTTCTTGAGTCCTTACATTCCTCAATCTTCCTTAACTCTGTTGGATGTGTCCTCCTTCCTATCTCA